AGACATGACTGTGAACAGGTAATTCTCCCCAGGTATGCACCCAGAGACTTGTTAGACACACCCCTTAATGACCTTGATTTGACCCTCTTCTGTGATGGCATGTTCATGAAAAGTGGGACAAGAAAGGCAGGGCATGCAGTAGTGACTATGTCAAACACTTGTAAGTTCTTCTCTTTCCCGTGGACTAGTGCCCAACTTGCATAATTCATAGAATTCATTCTTTGATTTTGAGGAACACAAACTCAATGTATTGGACATCTGGCAAGTTGGGAGTTATAATATTTCCCTTATCTCCTCTGGGGGTCCAATATCAGTAAGACTCAATTCTCCTTAGGTAAACACTCATGAAGAGCCATGGAAAGTCAGTAAACTTCTTAATGTAGTTCTCACTGAGCTCCTTAAGCCTACTTTTCACTGTGTGGTCAGTTATCCTTGGTGATCTTCTGCAAGAGGCAGAAAATCTACTGGAACCCATGCAGTAAATGCTTCTCAAATTCCATAGGCATGTAGTTCTTGGACATGAGTTCATAGATGTAGAACATGGTCAGGATGCCAAGCTGACCATGCTCCTGACCCAAGACACACTTCTGGCTGCTGCCCTTCACTGACACCATCTTTCTGTCTTAGATGTCACAGCCAAAGTGTGCAAAGTAGAAGATGGTGGTGAGTAGGAAAGGGGTGATACTGGAAGACAGAGGAACCCAACTGAAGAGATAGGCCAGGCAATGCAGGGCCAGGGAGCAGACATACTCACTCTTCACATCAAGGATGGTGATTGGCTGACTTAACAGCTTGGCGGAACTGGGACTCTGCAACAGGTTACTCAGCAAGTCAGCATTTTCTCCTGAGATCAGGGACGGTGGTGGAGTGGTGGTAGTAACCCTGTGTTTGTCCCAAGCCATCTCCAAGATGCTTGTCAGAAGCCCAAGAATAATCTGCACTTGGTCCAGCAGCAGCTTCCAAAATTCCTTCCAAGCCACACTAATGTCTTCATGGGGACAAACTAGTTCTTGTGAGGTTGTCTTCAGCATGATCAGCCCAAAGGGAGTTGTCCCAGGGGATTGGATCAACTCTAAAATGTTAGTTAAAAAATCATGGTAGAACATGGACCAATCTTGACATCCATTTTCAACAATAATTTTTCAGAGTTTGTTCTGGGTAAAGTAAGGTAAAGTTTTATGGTGAGCTAAAAAGAGTTTGGGCAGGGAGCTCAGGATTTCCATCTTATCCTGAGATAGTACCTCAAGCCACATTTTGCTGATTAGATTCTCAAAAACCATTAAATGGTACATCATTACATAGTCATTCCTAGTGCTGGAGAGAAAGTACAGGCAGACTCTCCAGGCTTTTATTTGCTGGGAGAAGTTATTGAGAAGCTCCTCTATCTCCTGTTTTTTTTTTTTTCATAGGTCATACAATCATGAACAACTTCTGTCATCAGACCTTCCAATGCCCTGAGGGAGGCTTCTTCAGATGCTATGCTGGCTGAGGAGCGGGTGTTCAGGTGAGCTGGCATTTGGGCTTCAGACACAGGATTGCACAGCTCAGGTCATAGTCTCAGCAGGCTCAGGAAATCCCCTGACCATGCAGTGACAACTCCTTCCCTACTCTGGACCTGCAGGGATCCCCTAAAAAGAACACAGCCACCTGGTCTATCTCATCAGGGACCCCAAGGACAATACATCCACAACCCTGCACCTCTCCCCAAGGAAACTGAAAAAGCAGGAAATGGGGCTCAAAGCCTGGAGAGGAGACAGTGGCTGTGGGGGAGAGGCCAGACCAGGCCAGACCATACTATTGAATGGGAGGTGATGGGTCCAGAAAGGGGCTCCTAGGCCTCTGTGGGCAAAGGTGGCAGCAGCCCTGCCTGAGGCTCAACAGGTAGAAGCTGGAGAGGGTTGGAGGTGCCTCACCACTTTGTTCAGCTCAGGACCAAGACCTGTGGGTTTGCACTGTCCTCACCACCTCAGCCCACACAGTTGCCACCATCCCCTAGAGCATCTCTGTGCACTGCCCTCTGACAGCCCCAAGCTTGCGTTGTATACTTTTGATGTGACCCTTTTAGGTCTTCCACATCAAGTCTGTTTTCTTATGATGACCTAATTTTCCCCAGGTCTGATATGAATCAGTTTCAATTTTTCCTCAGATCAGACTGAGGTAGGAGATTAGGGTTGGAGCAAAATCTGTTAGACAATTGATGAAATCTATCAAAGTCATGAAGACCCATGGTAGCTGTACAGAACACAGGACCCAGGATGACTCTGCAGCTCCTGAGCACCCCACATGCAATCAATCAGAAGACTACTATTTTCAGTTCTTCACTTGATGATAGTCATTCTGACTGGGATGAGATGAAATCTGAATGTGGTTTGATTTGTGTTTCTCTAATAGCTAAAGGTTAGGTCCTCACACTGGATCTTGCCCAACTTGAAGAAAGAAAACTCTAACAGACCCACCACTCTGTTCAAACAGGAAGCCCTCAAAAAAAACAGGAAACCCTCTACCCAACATGAGAGTGTGAAATAACCCTGTCTATCAGGTCAGTTCCAAGGCTTACAGGAAACCCGCAACTGTCTTCCTGCACTTCCTGCCACATGCTTCCCACTAGATATACCAAACCCACCAAAGGCCTCTGACAAAATTAAAATTTTCCATTTCTCTCAGCGGGACCCCCTTCCCTGCTTAAACTCCCCTATAAAGGATTATCCTCTTCCTTTGCTCGGGTCAACAGTCTTTTCACCCTTGGCCCAGCCGCACCCAGTCTGAAACAACGATATTGCTGTTTGTTTCAACCCTGCCTGTTCTAGTGCTCTCGGTCTGCCTTGGGGTTTAGCCTGACACTAAAGATGTTAAATATTTTTTTCATATACTTATTGACCACTTGAACTTTTTTTTTTTTTGCAAAGTGTCTGTTTAATTTATTTGCACACTTATACATTGGATTACTTCATTTCTTGGTATTAAGGGGTTGTTGTTGTTGTTGTTCCTTATATATTATGAATGTTAATCCCCTGTCAAAAAAAAGAGATAGTTAATAAAAGAGGCTGGCTTTTTACTCTGTAGGTTATTTCCCTTGCTGTACAGAAAATTTTTTCATTTGGTGTGATCCCATCTATTGATTCTCAATATTATTTCCTATGCAATTGAAGTTCTATTTAATATGACTTTTCTTGTGCTTCAAGTATGTCCTCTGTTTTCTTCTGGCAGTTTCAGAGTTTCGGGTCTGATTCTATTATAGGCAGCTAAGTTAGATAGAAGTTAATATACAGTCAGAGTGAGCTTGGGCCTTCAAGGAAGTTAGCAAAAAAAAAAATAAAGACATCAGAAATGTGGTTGGAGGAAAATCCAAAGACTGCCAGCCTCAGGGTAGAGAAATAATAGCAAGACCTGCATGTCATCCTAGAGACAAACAACAACTTGAGGGCATACTGTAATTAGTACCACTTGGTCCAGTGGGCCCAGATAGGTGTCAGATATGAAGGTGGGTGACCAGAATATCCAGACCTATGCTCCCCTCCCTTTCTAAGAATTCTTTGATCTTTCCATGTACCCTTCTTATGTGACTCTTTTCTGTATTGGATCAGTATTAGCTAAGTGGCAATGTTTGTAATCCTATAGGTTGACTGTACTTTCACCCATGTTGTACCCAGTGTGATTTTGCTATATAGATTACCCCTGCCAAAAGGCCTCAGTGGCCACCCGTTTGGGATCCCTTCTGAAAATCCAAGAGCTATTTTTGTTCTCCTTATTTCTGATGAAACTTTCTTAACTTTCTCCTTTGATTTGCAACTTCATTCCTCAATGTTGTGAGACCATGAACTAGACACATTTGACATCTCGTGAGTCAGGAGTTACATTGTTCTTATATCAGTACCAAGATCTTATCTATTTAATATTGCTTTCTATACAAGGTGAGAGATACGGATCTAGTTTCTGTCTTCTACATATGGATATCCAGTTGTCCCAGCACCATTTGATAAAGAAGTAGTCTTTCCTCCAACATGTGTTTTTTTACTCCTTTGTCAAGAATCAGATGGTTATAGTTCCATGGGTTTATTTCTGCAATGTATTGTTTTTATTTTAAAAAATTATGGCTTTGTAGTATAATTTGAAACTGTGTTTTTGTTTTTTTGCTTTTGTCTGTTGAGACAGGGTCTCCCTATGTAGTTCAGGCTGATCTTCAACTCACTATGTATCCCAGGCTGTCCTGGTGCTTGTAGATATCCTCCTGCCTCACTGTCCTGAGAGCTGGGGTTATAGGCATGTACCACCATGCTCAGTTGAAACTATCTATTGTGATATCTCCAGCCTTCTTTTTTTTTTTTCCTCTCTGTCTTCTTCAGATTGTTTTGACTATACTGGTTTTGTTGTGTTTCCATATGAATTTTAGAACTGCTTATTCAACTTTGGTGATGAATGTCATTGGAATTTTTGATGAGGATTACACTGAATCTATAGATGACTTTTAGCAATATGGTCAGGATGAATCCTAATCCATGAACCTGGGAGCTCTTTCCGTCTGCTAGTGTCTTCTTCAGTTTCTTCACTCTTATAAATGTTCACTGCGGACATCTTTTATCTTCCTAACTAGGTTGATTCATAGCACTTTTTTTTCTTAAGCTACTGTGAATGGAATTGTTTTCCTGATTTGTTCCTCAGAAAATTTACTTTGGGCATATTCAAAAGTTGTTAATTTTTTGAAGTTGATTTTGTATGCTGCTGAGCCCTTTGTATAACTTATTTTGAAACAGGGTCTTACTAAGTTGCCCAGGCTGGCCTCAAAATGCCCTCCTCCTTCCTCAGCCACCTCTATGGCTGATTTTATAGGAGAAGATACTGCAGCTGTGAGGGCACTAGTTGGAAAGACCACAGTTTACCCCAGACTGGCCAAGTTAGAATCTGCATCTGAAGGAGATGCCAGGCAGCTCAGGCTGTTACAGTTAGGGAAGAACTATTGCTGAGTCAAGTGGCCCCAGGCTACAGAATCACAAAGCCTGGGGAGATGGGAAAGTTTGCAGTCCCTGAATCTGCTGTCAGCTCCTCCCCTTCCTCAATTCCCCCTCCCATCCTTTCCCACCTTCCTCTTGAATGTCATAAATTCTGCCAGTCCCCAGCTGTCAGGAAGCCTCCAGTCCTGGTCACCAAGATGCACAAGCTCTGCCTCTTTGCAGTTCTCCTTGTCCTCACGGCCACCAGCGTGGCCAGCACCCAAGGGGAGGAGACCAGCGCTGATTTCCAAGGTAACTCCTGACTCCCCTCTCCCTGATCAGTAGGAGAGGCTAAAGAAGGCAGGGTGAACTTTGGATGGAGGCAAGCCTCTCTCTCTCTCCTTCTCTCTCTCCCTCTCCCTCTCTTTCCCCCTCTGACACTCTCTCTCTCTCTGGGTCTTTTATTGGAAATTAGCAAGTTTTAACTCCAAGGACATTTCATGAGTAAAAGAGTTATTGTACCAAATGCTCATCAGATAGTTCTGCCAGATCCTGGGCCCCACCTTTGAAAATTTCTCTATTCTTGGTCTTCAGCTATCCAGGGCCCTGGCTAGCTTCCTAAACATGTGAAGTGTTGAGTTTTGGGTCAAAGGCCGGGCTCCAGGAGTCCCAACAGACCAGGGTGGGCCACCTGCCCCATAGCATCACTAAAGGAGGTGAACAGTGGTAAAGAGCAGGAAAGGAGCGTCAGTCCGCATGGCCAAGCTGGGAAGCACTGACATCGTCAAGGTCTGTCTTTTGGAGGCTGACAAATTTTGGGGGTTTAGGAAAAAGGTGAAGAACGGTAAATGTTTGTGTTTCGTGTAGCTGACAGGGGAGGTAAACCAGGTCAAATTTGGTCCTATTGATCTGTCTCAGTACTGGTTCCCTGAGGCTTGGGAGACTATCATTATTCTGGAGAACAATGTGATTATGGTGAGATATAGGCTCATGATGGGGGCAGAATTGTATCCTGTCATAGCACAATTGGTTTTATCGGGTTAAATAATCCTTAAATATTGTGGGTTGATCAGGCCCACAATCTCCCAAGTGAGTGGACAGCAAAGGCTTAAATAAATGAGATAATTGAAATGATTTTAGGGCTCCTGGAGAATTTAACTCTCTTACAGCTTTGGTATTCTCTGGGTTTAGACAAAGACTTCCCTGGGCAGCCTGTATTTATTTGGTTTTCAAACAAAGGAGAAGGATATTCAAGAAAATGCAGGAATCTAGCAGGACCTTGGGAGACTTTTCCCAAGTAGTCAATTATGTCAAACAGGAGAACTACCTTATCTTTGGGGTGGTACTTATTGTAGGAGTGTGGTGTCTGCACCCGCAGTCTCCTTGTAGTTAACTGTGTTTGGAGCCAAATATCCTCAGCTATGGCCTTATCTTGTCCTTTGAGGTATCACAGCTTCACAAACCAATACAGGTCTCAGGATGACCATTGACTCACAGAGGTTCACTTACTATGAATCCACTGCGTATTTTCAGACAAGGTGCCTAAGCTTCAGACAACTCACAAGTGAACACAGAAAGCCTATTGCTTAATAGTAAATCCTGCTCAGAGCCACCCTGTAGTGGTCTCCATCAGGTTTCCCTTGAGGAGTGACCTGAACAGTAAGTGGAGTGAGAGGTCTACTTTTTCTGGAACCTGAGGTGATTACAAATTGAGGACAAATTTGTAGGCTTCTAGGCATGGCTGCTGGAGATTTCAGTATGGATTTGTAAAAGCAAGCAGTTGAACATTCCTGAAAATTCTGAAAATTATTTTTGTTACTCTTATCTTGGTGTCCTTGGTCTTGATAGATCCTCCTTGACTGATTAGTATGCCTTCAGGCAGAGCTGAGCATGGACGTGATCCCATGTCTAAGGTGATAAGGGAGACATATAACAATGAAGGCAGACTTACTAAGCTTTATTTGCTTTTAGTTACTCATAAGGCATCTACACATCCAACCTTCCCATTCTTGATACAAAATTTAATATAAAAAATAAATATTTGGTCTATGTTGCCTGTCACCAGAGAGACATTTCTGAAACTCTAGGGATTTACTATCTTGTGTGTGCTTAGTTAGATGACTGAGCAGACTGGCCTCAGAGGGACACACTATCGTCAGAGAAATGACTCAGACAGCTGGAAGGCTAGAAGTTTCCTTCCTACTTTCTTGCTGTCCAGAGAATGGAGTGGGCAGCAGAAACTGAGTTCAATTAGCAAAGGCCAATGGTTGAATAATCATGCACTTGTAATGAAACCACAAGGGAACCTCTAATGGTGAATTGGAGCACTTGCAGATTGGTAAGCATACAGATACACAGAGCGAATAGCAAACCCAAACAGGAAACGGGCCATCCCCTGTTCTCTGTGCCCTGTACATTTATTTATGCAATTCTTGAGTCTAAATAGTAACACTAAGTGCCTTAATTTGTTAATTAATTAATTTTTGTAGTGCTGGTGCTTGAACCCAGAGTTTTGCACTAATATACATCTTTTAAACATTTTTTTATCTTGAAACACATTTTTTCTTAATGTCACAAGTTGCCTATTCTGGGCTCCAACTTGTGATCTTCCTGTCCATGCCTATCAAAATGCTAGAATCACAGGCATAGTCCACTACACTGGACTCTAAGTGCCTTTTTGAGTTCTGGAATTGTTCTAGAGAATTGGTAGTAGAATCCCAACATTTATATACCTAGTATACTAAAATTAGGAGTCACCCATGGAAACTGCAGCTGGTGTCTGATGAGACACCTGGCTCAGAGTCATTCATTTTTCTACCTCAGGTCAAATAGCCATTGAGTGCCACCCCTGAGAACTGAGAACATGTAGTCTTGAGGTTTCCATAATGGCTCTAGAGCAATACATGAAGCTGGGTGGCCAGGAATGGGAGCAAAGGGATTGGGGTCTGTGAGATAGCTGAGGATGAGGCTCTGGGATCCACACTCACAGACCTAACAGGTTTCATTGAAAAGTGAAATCTGCTGCTACAAAAAATGGGCAGCCACCTACCTAGCATGTATTTTTCTTTACCAAAATGGGATGTCACCAAACACATTACTATTAATTTATAATATACTGTAAATATTTTCCAGTGGGCATAAATATTATTGTAAAATATTATTAACTTACAAAATTGTATGATGTGAGTAATAAATATTTCCTCATTCGTGAATTACAAGAGAAACCTAGACTTTTTTATAAGGAGTAAAAAGATATGAAGATATATAAACAAGGTTTTAGGTGGGCATGTTGGCTCATGCGTCTAATCCTAGCACTCAGGTGCCTGAGGCAGGAGGATCTCCTTGAGTTTAAAGCCAAGTTTTGTTACATAGTGAGTTTAAGAACAACCGGAACTACATAGCGAGACCCTGTATCAGAGAACAAAAACAAGTAAAGGCTAAAACCTTTATTTGACAGATTCCCTGTCAAAATCCCATCATTTGCTGGACACGGTGGTGCATGCCTGTAGTCCCAACAATCCAGAGGCCAAGGCAGGAGAATCTCCTTGAGTCTGAAGGCAGCTTAGAATACATAGTGAGTCCAGGCCAATCTGAACTACATAGTGAAATCTTGTCTCAAAAGAAAAAGGAAAAGAAAAAAAAATCCATTATTCTATTGCCTACGAGGTAGCCAGTTTTAACAAAGAGCATGTTTTCCTCCATGACAGCACGATCAGTTAAAGGAATTTTCTTTAAATAATTACAACTGGCAAAGGTACAAAAAGTAAACAGAATGGCTTTTTTTTTGGGGGGGGAGGGGTTTGGTGAGGTTTATTTATTTATTTATTTATTTATTTATTTTAAAAATAAAAGGAGGAAAACATTAACAGACAGACAACCATTTACAAAAAAGCAAAAGAACAATACAAACAACACAGAGTTACAAACAAAGTGGTAGGAAATTAACAATGCTTGTTGTATTACATATTGATATCTTCAAAGTGGTTTCTCATGAAAACAAATAGAGACATGCAATATTGATCAATCAGGGACTCATTAACTGTTTCTTTCAGCAAAGAAATAGAAGACAGTGGAACAACTATGTTAACTATCCTGCATATACATACATACAAAATTTCTCCTTCTTTCCCTTCTCTTTTCCCACATCCAAGTTGCCCTTTACCCTTGAGTGTTTTCCTTTCATTTCACAATGTCTATCATACCGCCAAGTTTTTATTAACTCTTTCAGGTTTTACACTAGTGAGACAATGCGGTGCTTGCACATGCAGGTCTGATTTATTTCACCTATGAGTATGGTCTCTAGTTGTGACCATTTACCTATAAAAGCCTCGAGTTTATCTATGTTTATAGCTGAGTAATATTCCATTATATAAAATACCACAATTTTCTTATTCAATCCTCAGTGGATGGACATTTGGGTTGCTTCCACAGTTTAGCAATTACAAATTGTGCTGCCATGAACATAGGTGCACATACATCACTGTGATATGATGTTTTTAGATCTTCTGGGAAAATACCCAGCAGGGGAATAGCTGGATTGAATGGGACCTCTAGACCTAGTTTTCGGAGGAATCTCCAAACTGATTTCCACAGTGGTTTCACCAGTCTGCATTCCCACCAGTGGTTTCTATTTCTCCACAGCCTCGCCAGCATTTGTTATTGGTTGATTTCTTAATGCTAGCCATTCTTACTGGGGTAAGGTGGAATCTCAATATTGTTTTAATTTGCATTTCTCAAATGACTAATGATGTTGAACATTTTCTCATGTATTTATTTGCCATTTGTATTTCATTATTTGAGAAATGTGTATTCATCTCAGCTGCCCACTTTTGGATTGGTTCTTTGAATTTGGGGGGGCTGATATTTTTTAATTCTTTATGTGTTTTAGATAGAAGTCCTTTGTCAGAGGGACAGTCAGCTAAAATTTTTTCCAAGTTTGTGGGTTTTCTTTTTACTCTGCTGGTGATTTCTTTAGATGTGCAGAAACTTTTCAGTAGGATGAGATCCCAGTTGTTGATTCTTTGAAGTGTTTCGCATGCAGTTTTGTTTTGTTTTGTTTTGTTTTGGTTTGGTTTTTCTCTGGTACCGGGAACCGAACTCACGACTTTGCGCTTGCCAGGCAGGTGCTTTTGCTGCTGAGCTAAATCCCCAGCCCCGCAGTTTGTTTTTTGTTCATGAACTCTCTGCCTACCCCTACGTCTTCAAGGTTTTTACCTACTTTCTCCAGAATGGCATTGTAAACCTCCATGTCCCCATTATTCAGCTACAACAGTTGTTGACATGGACAGTACTAAATATGTATATCTTCCCCTTATTTTTCAATTTGTTTATATCCTGCAGTCCTGAAAGTCAGGTCTCAGGTATCATCCAATTAATTAAACCATAAATACTTCAGTGGGGTATGTAGCATTTTTTTACAATATCACTATATCATTGCACAGCTAACAAAACTAACAGTGTCCAGAAAGCAAGCTGTCAGGTAGAGGTTTGACACTTCCAGGTCCCTCCCAACTACTCACAATGCCCATTGTTCTTTCTATTGTTTGCTGTGTAGATTGTGCTGTGTGACCATCATCCTGGTTGACCACAGACTCTGTCTCTTGTCTCTGCAGCCCAGCCGCCTGCTTTTTGCCTGGAGCCGCCCTACACAGGTCCCTGCAAAGCTATGTTTATCAGATACTTTTTCAATGCCAGCTCTGGGTACTGTGAGAGCTTTGTCTATGGTGGCTGTGAAGGAAACCAGAATCGCTTCTGGGACCAGGAGGAGTGTGCCCAGACCTGCGGGCAGAAAATCACAGCCTTAGGTAAAGCTGGGGCTGATGAAAGGGAAGGTCAAGGGGAAGGAGTGGAGTGTAGGGTCCCCACCCGCCTCACGCCAGCACAGTGACTCAGAAGCTGAGGCTGTCTGGATTCCAGGGGATAAGTGGTAGGTGTCCTGTGAACCCACAGATTGAACATAAGCTCTTCTTGGAGCTTGATAGAGAAAGTCACTGTCACAAGTGCTCTTAACATGATCTGAGCCATGTCAGAGGGGACACAGAGGCAGCCACTCGGCACAGTGAACCTGAGATTCTCCTGAGCTTTCACCACTCAGGCTTGGTGAAGCTATGTCATTACTGTCAGTCCCCTGGCTGGGGAGAGGACCACAGTGGCTCATTTCTGGGATGGTCTAGGATCTATGATGATGTGCAGGGTCCAGGTCAAGGGTAGGATGAATGACAATCAGTAACTTCTTTTTCTTTTGCAAAGATGCTAACTCCTGTGCTGCCTCCACATGCTAAAGTCAGCCCCCCTCCAAAAAAAACCCCACTACAACCATTTTCCAATGGCGATAAATATTCCTCTAGAATAGTATTTATTCTGTTAAATTCATCCCCTTATCTGCTTCCTTCTCTTGCTGTCTATGCCAGCAGACCCTGCCCCTTTCTTCTCCCCAGCCTTTACTCGTATAAGAGCTGTTTAACCATACACTCATAAGCACCACAAGAACAAGAAATATATGTCTTTGTTTTTGTCATCACTTTGTCCCCAGCATGTTCTATAATTCCTGAATCAAAGGAGATAGTCCATGATTATTCGTGGAGTGAACAAACAGGACTTTGCACAGGACTGACTACAGAGCTCAGGTACTGAAGCCAGGACTCTAGGCCTCATCGTGATTAGCATTTCATCCTTGCTCCTTCACCCATGCTTCCACGTGGGGTGTAGAGGTGGGGTTTCTGGCATCCCATTATGAGTATCAGTCATATGGAGCAGTGGGAGGAAGGATGCTTTCACAAAGCATGCAGCTCTTGTGACAGTGTACATTTATTCTGTCTTTCTCTGCGCATTCATGCTTACGTACATTTATTTCCTTCCTCCCTTTTTGGTTCCTTGCTTGTTTTCTCTCTCTCTCTCTCTCTCTCTCTCTCTCTCTCTCTCTCTCTCTCTCTCTCTGTGTGTGTGTGTGTGTGTGTGTGTGTGTGTGTGTGTGTGTCCCTCTGTCTTCCTGCTTTCCCTCTTTTTGTGTGTGTCTTTTCTGTTTTGGGGATTTTCCTTTGGGTCTAAAGCTAGAGTATGCTAAGCAAGTGCTCTACCAGTGAGCTGCTTCCTCACCCAAGACATTCAAACTAACTAGACTAGATTCTGTTGTTTGTAACTGCCAACTTTATTTGGCACCATCTTCAGATATCATAGTGTTTTCTATTGCCCTGCAGGGCTGTGAACTTTCCTTTACCTTCCTGCAGACTGACTCATACCAGTTACAGGAAGTAAAACATGATTGTGGCATCTGCCTCTTGATGCCAAGTAGCACAAAACCTGGGAGACCCTGTTACAACTGAATGGGCCAATAATAGCCCAGGTTCCTTGTGTACAATGAAGAAAGTATTACCAAGCTTACACCCTATAGTAAGTAGTAAGCAGCTGTATTCATAAAGATCACAGGATGTTATGCTCAGGGCTAGTCTGTGCTAACAAATGTATGACACAGACTAGCTAAATGCTAAACACTTATACTAAATGTGTGACACAGATCAAGAAATGTGCCAGAGCAACTGAAAGCACTACACGTAGGTCAAAAATAGCAACAGCAACAGAAGAATGGAGATGATAATTTAGACTTTCCAAATTTAAAGCCCATGCACATCTGCTTTAGGTGCCTGTGTCTTTGAGATCAAGGACAGAATCACTTAGTGTCTCATGGGAGCTGTGCTAAAAAGGTATATGGGTCTGCTACTAATTAGAGAATAGGTACCACTGCCTCACTGATTATTGTACAAGGCAGTATTCTCCTTAGGGCTTAACTATTGGTAAAATAGGTGTATTTCATGGAGACTGGCATGGCATCAGTAACCCTGTCATCAAAAACTTATTAATAATATGCTTTAGCTGCAGTCTAGCTTCTTTCTTCTGCTTCCTGTGAGGATATAGATTAAGGTCTAGTAGCTGAATAACTATTGGAGTGGCTATCACAGCACTCTCTGTGGTACCACCCTACCATGCTTAAGGATTATCCCCGGGCAGAGACATTGGGCCCCAGGGAGTCAGATTGGCTGGGTCCCTAGCAATTAGGACATGGGTTGCCAACAGTTTGAGTATCAGAGTGGCCCGGAATAGGAAGAGTATATCTCTTCCAATTGCTTAGTATTGGGTGCTCCAGTATCACCATAAAGGCAGCTTGAAAAGCAAATCTTCCAAATGGCAGTTCAGAGTGGGAGTAAAGTTGTCTGGTCAGCTCTCTCAAAACCCACAACAGCTTTCAAATAGTCTGAAAATGCATGTGAATAAGAAACTAAAATAAAATAAGTCCCTCCAGCATTGCAGAGAAGTACAATTGCTCTGCCCACTACATCTAGAGGTACAGAGGCTCCTCTTAGTTGTGGTATTCTTGTGTGGGAGCCTTGCAGGCTGCCTCAGGCACCATCGCCACTTGGTGCCCAGGCCTTCTCTGGCCACCATGGTGAAGGAGGAACTCATCCCTCCCTGAGAATGAGGGCAGTCCCTCTTCCAATGCCGGTGGCTTTCTCCCCATGTTCTGAGAGACCCAACAAGGGCTAGGTGGTTTATGAGGGTGGAATCGCCAAGTGTGCACACAGCAGTAAGCAGCTACATTTACTGAAGATCACAGGAAGTTGTGCTCACGGCAAGCCTGTGCTACCTAAGGTATAACACAGACCAAGAAAGGTTCCTGGGTGAGTGGAAAACCCTTCATACAGCTCACAGATTGCAATGCCAACAGACAAAAAGGGGGCTGATAATTCAGGTTTTCAGATTTTAAAGTCTAGACACCTCTGCTTTAGCTGCCTCCCACTGAATCCCTAGGGGCCACTGACAGGAGTGATTGACAGGGTGCTGAGTCACCTTGGACCCTCGTAGCATGCATGCTTTCTCAGAATTCACGCTGATACTAATTATATTTGTGAGTGCATATTTATAAGCCTATAATGAGGTGGAAGTAGGGTAAAGGTGACCAGAATGTCAGGCAGGAAGATCCAGTGGGCATGTGCTCTTGGCTAGGGCGTGGGAGAGCTCCTAAGCTTTTGCTATTTCATTTTCTACCTCTGTTAGGATGATGGAAGCAGTAATACTTTTGAATTAATAGAGGGAACAGAGTGACTTTTCGGCTTCATTGTTTCTAACTTTACCAAAGATATATAAAGAAAAATTTCAGATTCCCTGTCAAAATTCCATGATTTTGTTGGCTACAAGGGAGCCAATATTAACAAACTGCATGCTTTCCTCCCCGTAGTCCTCATTGGCAGCATAATCAGTTAAAAGAATTTTCTTAAGTAATTGAAACTTGCAAAGGTGCAAAAAGTAAAGAAAATGACATGATAAATCTTCATGATCCCCTTATTCAGCTGTAACTGTTGACATGGAGAACACTGCAAGTATGCATCTTTCATCTATTTTTTTCAATTTGCTTTTATCCTGCGGTTCTGAAAGTCAGAGCTCTCAGGCATCATCCAATTAACTAAAGCATGAATACTTCAGTGGGGGATGTAGCTTTTTTTTTACAATATCACTATATCATTGCACAGCTAACAAAACCAACAATGTCCAGAAAGCAAGCTATCAGGTAGAGGTTTGACACTTCCAGCTCCCTCCCAATTATTCACTGGACCCATGGCTCTTTCTGTTGTTTTCTGTGTAACTGTGCTGTGTGACCATCATCCTGGTTGACCGCAGACTCTCTGCCTCTCTGCAGCCCAGCCGCCTGCTTTCTGCCTGGAGCCGCCCTACACAGGTCCCTGCAAAGCTATGTTTATCAGATACTTCTTCAATGCCAGCTCTGGGTTCTGTGAGACCTTTGTCTATGGTGGCTGTGGAGGAAACCAGAACCGCTTCTGGGACCAGGAAGAGTGTGTCCAGACCTGCGGGCAGAAAATCACATCCTTAGGTAAAGCTGAAAGAGAAGGTCTAGGGGAAGGAGTGGAGTGTAGGGGCCCACACACTTCACACCAGCACAGTGACTCAGAAGCTGAGGCTGTCTGGATTCCAGGGGATAAGTGGTAGGTGTTCTGTGAACCCACAGATTGAGCATAAGCTCTTCTTGGAGCTTGATAGAGAAAGTCACTGTCACAAGTGCTCTTAACATGATCTGAGCCACGTCAGAGGGGAACACAGAGGCAGCCACTCAGCACAGTGAACCTGAGATTCTCCTGAGCTTTCACCACTCAGGCTTGGTGAAGCTACTTCATTACTGTCAGTCCCCTGGCTGCGGAGAGGACCACAGTGGCTCATTTCTGGGATGGTCTAGGACAGTACTGGCACATGTATGGCATATGTGTCACAGTGAGTGGTTTGAATCACTGAAAGCTCTAAAAGGTTTTCCATCCCTGGGAGTAAGATCTTTGGTGATGTGCAAGGTCCAGGTGAAGGAGAGGATCAATGAAAATCAAGGTTTATTTCTTTTGCAGATATACTGACACCTGTGCGACGTGGACATGCTAAAGTCTGACCCACATCCCAAAAAACCCACATAACCCTTTTCCAATGGCAATAAATATTCTTCCATGTAGAGTAGTTATTCTGCTAAGTTCATCCCTTTCCTAGCAGACCCTGCCTCCTTCTCCCCAGGCTTTACTTATTTCAGGACTGTTTAAACATACACTCTTAAGCACCACAAGATCAAGACAAACATGTCTTTGTTTCTTCGTCACATTGTCCCCATCATGTTGCACTGTTCCTGACACCAAGGAGATCGTCAATACACATCTGTGAAACAAATGAATGAATGAATGAATCTCATCTGCACAGGACTGACTACAGAGCTCGGGTACTGAAGCCAGGACTCTAGGTCTAGTCACCTCCTGCACTTCATCCTTGCCTTCATCCTTCACCCATCCGTCCATGTGGGGTGTAGAAGTGGGGTTTCTGGCATCCAGTTCTCCATATCAATCATATGGAGCAGGGAGTGACAAGGATGCTTTCACAAAAGGCCTCCTGCAGCTCCTGGGATGTTGTCCATCTCTCCTGTTTTTTCTTTGGCTTTATGTTTAGGTACATTTATTTCCTCTCTTGCTTTTTGGTTTCTTGCTTTCTCTCTCTGTCTGTCTGTCTCTCTCTCTCTCTTCACCCCCTTGTGTTTTCTGTGTTGGGAGTGTACTTCAGGTATAGAGCTAGAGCACACTAAATATAACATATGTAACATGGGGGGCACCAGCAGAGACCACCAGGTTTGTGTAAAGTCAACATGACATGGAATTTACTGTACCTGGGTGCAGAAAGGCAGAGAGCACGATAGGACCATCTGCCCCAAACAAAGAGAGGTGTGTCCCTTTCATAGGGATAGAAAGAAGGCAGGGGACAATAAGCAGGAAGATCCCAGTAAACACCTGTGGTCAAAGTTGTCTGGCGGTGTTGCACCTCAGCGGGCAAAGTCCTTGAAGTGTCCATTGTAAATTTTTGGGTATCCCCAGATGTCCCCAGGACCTGCAAAATTCCTTTTCCTATCATATCTCCTCCATGACATCCTGTGCTTGCAGATGACAACTTCCGTCAGCAGCTGAGTTCCCTGCAGAGAGTAGTGCTTCTGCTGACAAGCAGGTTGAGGGGTGGGAAAGTCAGGTCTGATTCATTCCTTACACAAAACCAATGCTCTACCAATGGGCTACTTCCTCACCCAAGAAATTCATGTTGTTATTAAAGTAACCAAACTGGAGTCTGTTGTTTGCAACTACAAACTTTATTTCTCAGTATCCTCAGATATGGTGGTATTGCCCATTGTCCTGCAGGGCTGTGAACTTTCCTTTTTCTTCCTGCAGTCTGAACCATACAAATGACAGGAAGTAAATCCATGACTGTGGCATCTACCTCTTGATCCCTGTCCCAAAATTCGCAAAACCTGGATGACCCTATTCCTGTTGAACGGTCTAACAACAGTTCAAGTTCTTGTGTACAGTGAGGGAAGAATTGCCCATTGTGCACCTTGTAGCAAGTAGTAAGCAGCTGTTTCTTGAAGATGACGGTATGTTTGTGCTCAGGGCTAGTCCATACCAATGAAAGTTTAGCACAGATTGTGCAAGGTGCTGGGGTGACCAAGAAGCCCTGTGCACAAGTCAAAAGTAGCAACACAATAGAAAAAGGGGGCCAGTGACTCAGGGTTTAGAATTTAAAGGCCAGACCCCTCTACTTCAGGTGCCTCTCACCTAATCGCTAGGTGTGATTGACAGACCCAATCAACAGTGTGCTGAGTCACCTTGTGACCGTTAACACACATGCTCATCCCAGAGTGCACTGATCTTAATAATATTATGCAATGTAGTACATATTTATGAGGCTGTAATGAGATGCAAGCAGAGAAAGTTGACTGCAATGTCAGGCTGGGAGATCCAATGTGCATATGCCCTTGACTAGGGCATGGGAAATCTAAGCTTCTGTTATTTTATTTTCTACCTCTCTTAAGACAATGAACGTAGGAATAACTTAGGGTGCTGTTTTATATTAAACGGAGGGAAGGGCATTACTTCTCAGCTCATTGTTTCTAACTGTGCTATTCTTCCCTGAGATTCCTGGTTCCAGAAAATCTTTGAAGGGTAGCCAGGCGCGGTGGCACATGACAGAGGCCTTCCAGTGCCAGTTCCTTGACAAAGTCAGGACTGGCAGTGGGTATCTGCAAAGCAGGGACCACATAGGATGGGTGTGCGACCTCTCTACTCTCTATTAATTGTAGCTTTCCAGATATTTACTGCCCTATTGATAAAAGATGGTTGGGGACCTAAAGGATCAGAACTGAAAGTAGTTAAGGAATCAGAGCCCAGGATAAAAGGCACATTTTCAGGGCTGAAAGAGGAAGTAAAAGCCAGCACAGAGATTTGCGTCAGTCCCCTACCTCCTGTGTGGCAATATTCACCCACCGGAATGGGAGGGGAGCGCTGCACAAACCTCAGTGTGTGGGAAAACATTGGGTGAATGCCATGTGTGCTGAACTGGCTCTGGAAGGAGATATTGTAAATGTGTGTCCTGTTGTCCAGTAGACAAGTGAACAATTCTTTAAAAAATTATACCTAATCAAGAACACCTAGTGATTGATCTTTTTGCTTCCTTTTATGTGCTTTAGAGAAGTTGATTTCCTGCTAGGGTTGCCGCCAGATGGTTGGTCAACCGTGTCTGAATCTATAACTAAATTGAAACTACATTGTATCTAAGTGAAAACTGTTTAATTTGCCAAGTTTCAGATGTATTTGCAAAAGTATATAGTAAAGCAAAAAACATTTCTGTGTCAGAGGAGTCTTGTTCCCCCGTCCCACCAGAAGGACCTCTGGTGTCTGCATTGTTTGTCTCTTTGCCCATGTCATTTCCTCCTAAAGGAGTCTCCTGGACCTGCTGAGGCCGGACTGCAGCGGGCACACACCTGTAATCCCAGCACTTGTGAGGCTGAGGCAGGAGGATCACTGCAAATTCAAGACCAGCCTGAGTTACAGAGTGAGCTCAAGGGTAGGCTGAACTGAATTGCTGGACCCTATCTCAAAAAGACAAAAAATAAAAACTTTGAGGGGTGTTGTGGGAACCACTTGGATTGTTTCAATACTCAGGGCCATCTAAGGACACCTCAGGATGTGACCCTGATTGTCTAGTGCAAGCACACAGTGAGATACAGTTACATAACCATGACAACACAGGTAAACTTGCATGTGCTGGTTACAGCATTATATAAGAATGTAAATATGACTTAACAACCTGTATAAGAATCATACAATAAAGATGCAGGTGGGTCTCTTGTGCTTTTGCTCTGTGGTCTCTGCTTTGCTCCATCCCGCCTGTTGTTATTTCTGATGTCTTGCACACATTCATTCTTTAACCTTGGGACCTCACCTATGAAAATGTGCCTTGGGCCCCCAAGTGGCCTGACAGGTGTTGAAGGAGGAAGTTCTGTATTTTGCAGCTGTTTCTGGCTGAATAGGCGTATTGGTGCTTCCTAATGGAGATCAAGGAACTCCTGCCCTGACTAATCTATGGGTTCTGGGGAGTTAAGGTCTTCTGTGAAAGTTTCTTATGAACCATGTATGTAGAAGCAGGTTCTGATCTTGAGTTACGGTCATCCCCAGTAGTCTGACAGCTGTCAAACAAGAACAAACAAATTTGACTAAAAGGTTAAGTATGTAAGAGCTAAATAAAAGGTTATGAGAAACATTAATAAAGGTCATGTCCAGGACAGCAATCAAGACCTCCAGTTCTAGCTATTTGGCCGGGTCACCCATGACTCAAATTGTTCTTCATGGATTTTGGAAGCATGGTCAGTCAGTTTTTGTGCCATGCCTCTTACTATTTTAGAACTATCGATACAGGAGCTGTATTCTTCTTTTAGGCACAAACGTAGCCCCTTGTTTTGTTATAGACAGCTAAGTTAGGTAGAAATATACAGGCTGTTATACAAGGATAGGTCCTCAATGGAGTCAGTGTAGAAGATGACAACACATTACAACTGTGGCCGGAGCTGCCTCTGTCAAAGGCTAGGCCTCAAAATAAAGATGGAATGACCAGGCCTACATTTTTCACCAAAGTATAAGCCGTAAGTTGATGATTATTCTATAATTGGTGTCACCTGGCCCAATAAAGTCCAGATAGACGTCAGTCAGTCACATGGGAGACCAGGACCTTCTGATTCATCCTTTCCTAAAAATGTCCATGTTCTTTCCATGTACACTTGCTACATGACCTGCATTCTATTGATCAATATTACCTAAGCAGCTATATTGTAATCTTATTGGTTGATCATAGTTTTGACCCATGTTGTACTCACATTGTGATTTTTGTTCCTACCTGGTGATTTTGATCTATAAAATTGCTTTGAGAAGTGGGTTTGTTGGCAACCCAGTTTTGGGTTCCCTCCTGTCTCTTATGAGCTTTCTCAATGAATTTTTCCAACTCCTCACCTCAATTGTTCCTTAGAATTCATTCTTCAGTTTTGGGGAACCCAAACTCAGTGTATCTACCTTCCCGCAAATTAGGAATTACCCATTTATTTCCCCTCTATCATTTGGAGGTCCCACTGAGATAACTGGATAGAGGTAAGAATTTGCTTTTGTTTCATGGAGTCTGGTTTGTGACTTGTTCAGGTATTCAGAAATTGTCATCCAGGTTTGTCAGTTGCTTATGGCTTGAAGTTTTATGTCCTGTCATTTTAACACTTTTTGGGGGTTAAATGATGATAAATTTAAATTGAAAACATGGGAAGATTATGATCTTTCTTTGATGGGACATTTTACTTTAGCAGGTGCTGTAGTCAGGGTTTTGCAAGGAAATAGATTTAATAGAGGACACATAATTGATAGGATTGTTTTATAGATTCACCCATAGGGTCAAATGCAGAAGATTGCAAGAGATCTGTCCATGCACTATAGACCCAAAGCATCCAGCTGAGGGCCTGGATCCCATGGCATAGTCCTGCACAAGTCTAGTTGAAGACCTGGAGCCTATGGCAATGTGCACATGAGTCCAGCTGGAGGACTAGAGCCCATGGTAATGTCTCATGCAAGTCTGTATCAAGGATCCACACTAAGAAGGCCCAAAGACCAGTGGCAGAGCTAGAAATTCTGTGCCAGTGGGATGAAGGATCCATGCCAGCAGGCTGAGGGATCTGCACTGGAGCCAGAAAGTGACAGTCAAGGTGAGGACCAGAGCTTTCTCAAAGAGAACCACAACCATCCTCAGTGACAGAGCATCTGAGCTCCCCTAATGATGAGAATAGATGAGTTCCTATCAGGAAAACCAGCATGACAAACTTCTCCAGGAGAAACAACAGCATATCTTCCATCCAGTTCTCATTTTATGCTGTTGGCAGCAATCTTCAGGTGGACCTTCCACAACCAAAACCACACTGATTCAGTTCAGCTGGTTGTTACAAATTGAACACTAGTTAATCCACCACAGCAGGCAAGATCTTGTATTCCTATTTTGTATATGCTGAATATGAAATTACCAGTTATTGAATTTACTGGGTTCCTTGCTTGACCTGTTTGACTTCTTCTGACTGTTGTGGTGTGCTGTCTTGTGTTAGACAGTGGTACTAGGGGACAAGTAATGTTAGAGTGTCACCTGGTGGACTTTGATAGTAACCAAAATGTGAATTTTTTTTTTGATTTTAAAGAGAAAAGATCAAAAGCAAAGACAAAAACAAAACAACCAAAACTACTTTAAAAGATACAGAATTTCAAAACAAGATGATAAGAAATCTACAATCATTATTGTATTACTTATTGTTGTCTTCAAAGTAGTTACTCAGATTGCCAGATACAGCCATGCAACATTGATCAAACACTTAAACATTAACTGTTCCTTTTAATAAACCATTAGAAATTAGTAGTACAATTATTTTAACTATCTTGTGTGTGTGATTATATAGACATAATTCCCTTCCTTCTTTCTTTCTTTTCTTCTTTCCCTCATCCCAATTGTCCTTTCCTATTAAACAGTTTCTTACCATTTCACAATATTTATTTTACCTTTCACTTTCATTTACTCTTTCAGGTTTTTACAGTAAGGAGACAATATGGTGCTTACACATATGGGTCTGATTTATTTTTCTTGTGAGTATGGTCTCTAGTTGCATCCATTTACCTATAAAAGTCCCGAGTTTATCTTTCTTGATAGCTAAGTAATACTCCTTTGTATAAAAATACCACATTTTTCTTATCGACTCCTCAGTTGATGGCAATTGGG